GGGATCGTCGGTTCGAATCCTACTGAAAGAAGTCTGATGAGGAAATGTGGTGATTTCCGAAATAGCTATCACTTCTACCATTTTTTCAAATTATTGTTGCTTTTCCACAATAAAGTTTTCACTAAAAACGGCCTCAGGCTCATAAAAATTGTTGAATATAATTGTTATAAGGCCATAAAAATAACAAAAACAGAAAACATATAAATTAAAATATATTTCTTTCCAGAGCGAAATACGGACAAGTAAGGTGATAAATTTGTATGATGAATACCGGGAAAATCTTTTGCATCAAAATTTCTATTCTAATTTGCATTTGAATTGTGATATCAACAGCGATGCTTTGGAACGTATTTTTTAAAGACAAATTTTTTATAAATCTTGAGATTGTTGATTTATTTTAGAATTAAAAAAGCTAGTTTACATTAAAAAATATATTTAGACTAGAAGTATGTAAACTACTTTTATTACGAATTGAAACGATTTTAATGAATATGGTTACCATTAATAGTAGTATGACAGTTAGATATAGATAATGCATATTTGACAAGAAAGATAGAAACAAGATTGCGCCGTCGTGGCGGAGATGACATATCTGTACAAAAAGTAAACACAGTCGAATTGGATGTTGAAAGAAAATGTGAGAACAGCCAGTTTTCTTATTAATACATTTTTCGATAGGAACGTGTTTTAATTGTGCTAAATTCTTATAGCCTTATTATTAAAAACTAAAGTAGCTTTAAAAAAGGTTTATAAATTGAAAAATGTTTGCAAACGGCAATTTAAAAAGCTTTTTAAAATTTTTATTTTTTTATGAATAAGGTGATAAAAATATATGATTTAAAATAACTTTTAACAAGGAAAATACGAAAAATGGAGAGTTTTGCGGAAGTAGGTATTAGTGAATTGCAGTGCATTTAAAGTTTCTGAGGTTTCGTTTACTTTTAGATCAGAATTGTCAAAATTGAGAAATTCAAAGTAGCAGTACAATAACCATAGAAAAGTAGATTGCGCCCTGAATATTCTCGTATCTTTTTTTGGTTTCGGTTTGACAGCCAGCTGCTGTGATGATGTGGAAATTTACCACAATGAAGAAAAATATAACAATTAAGTGAAAAAATTTTGATTTTTACAAATTTAGTGAGCAGTAGCGCGTTTCAAGAACGTTATTTCGGACAAATCGTTAATGAACAACTATTTTTCCTTCCCGTCTGCTTTGGTTTTGCCAAAAAAGTTGATTAGTTCCTGCCGGCGATCAAGTCATTTCAACCACAATATACTATTATTTGCAAGAACCATTCACTAAAATTGTAACTAACTTTTTATTATTTATTAATTTCTTTTTGATATTCAGCAATAGCAAGACGGAAAAAAATTATAAACCAAAATTAATAATATTTTTATGAATGTAGTTAAAAAAGTTCACAGAGTAAATGCCGTAAAACAATGTATTGGCAACGACATAAAATGTATGGCAATTTAGATGTCAACAGAATAACAACTACGATAAAAAAGCATGAGAGAAGTGTGCGAAGGAGGAAATCTTTTCAATTTGAACAAAAAAAGCTGTAAATGCCGTTGTAAAACGGTCAACAAATTTCTTATAAAATATTTTGATTTTTACCATGATAAAAACATTACAAGGTAAAATCATTGAGAGACAGTTTGGTGTTTGCCAGCAATGTAATTTTAAAATTCGAACTCAAGCTCACACACACATTCTCATTTTTAATCTCAAACAACAACAATTGTGAACAATTTCATTTTTTTATTTTCAAGTTTATATGAATTTAAAATGTTTGCAAACGTCAGAAAAAAATCATGGCCGACTAATTGAGAGAATGGTTCTACTTTCTAATGTTTTTATCATGATTTTTACTGGGTGTAATTGAAACTCAGTCAAATGAGTATTAAGGAAAAGAAAAATTTGAGAGTAATCAAGAGAATAAGAGATGGGTGCACAAAAATTTAAGTTAAATATTATACCAAAATTCTTAAAAAGTAAACAAATCTATTTTTTTAATGTTACTGTATAGAGAGAGCTCTTTAAATCTATTTTATTTTTTATGAATAAGGCCATAAGCATATACCGTTTTTATAAATAAATCTTATAGCAAGATTTACACTTTTGGCTGGCGGAATATGTAGTTTTTTCAACCTAATAAAAAAGCGTATTTAACCACATTAAAATTTTTTTAATATTGAATGGCGCAACACAACAACTCTTTTGGTTGCACGAAACCCTTGAACACGTGCCTGTCATCTTTTTCTTCTAAGCATTTCTTCATAAGCATTTCGACATTTCGCTATTTGCATTTCTTTCATTTTGAAGTCATTCGCATTTTGAAATTCGTTTTGGTTCGACAGCCTGCTACTTCATAATTCCTTCATTCTCATTCGCATCGTCGAACGTGCCTGTCAAACGCTGCCGCCATCATGCTTTTCAGTTTGGCAGGCAAGTCCGCTGTTTGGCAGGCACGTCCGCTGTTAGAAAGAGAATAGACAAAAAGGGGCATAGGATTCCATACTTGTAAGTATATACGATGATGCAAACATATTACAGTATATTATATATGCATTTATAATAATAAAATAGAAAAAATAGTGAAAAATAAATGAATAAGAATTTATTTCTAAAGATTTATTCTACCTGCTTTACTGTTTTTTCCCAATTTAAAAACAGTTCATGTAATTTATTTTTTTATCTGAGATGTCGTTTTCGCTGGAATGTTGTACTTCAACGTGAACTTCAATGTGAATCCCCTTCGATTAGGGTAGAAAATGAACTACATAAGCATGTGTTTCATTGACTGGCCTTGAGTGCCTGCTACGTTTCTCAAAAATTGTAAATATATAATTTTTTTTTGTTCATGTGGCACGGGCCCCTAGGCTAATGCCTATGTCTGAGCTTAAATCTGGCCTTGGGTGTGTGTACAGAGACAAAAGCAACATTTTTGTTTTGCAGATCTTCCGCTATATCGCTGCCTACATTCGCACGAACGTGCTCGATACGAAACAAAAACAGGGATGGAAGCGAATAAATGGAACAATTTTTCATTCTCTTATGTCCCGTAGAGACGCTGCCTATCGAAATGAACGTGGCAATGCTTTGCTCAATGTAAAAATTTTTAAATCTTTCGACGCAAATATTTTAAAAGCGGTTCAACTAATTTTAAATCTGAAAAGTTTGTGCAAAATTTGAGATCGAGCCCTTTAATTTGATGTATCTCTGTAAGATTTGTACATCGCTGTGAATAAGCGCCTTGTTTTAGAATATACAGATTATCCAATCAAATGTCAGACAGCCTTTTAATATTATTATTATTATTATTATTATTATCAACAAACAGGACGCTTACAGACTATATGACAAATATATACATAGAATAAGGGAAACCTTTATGACAAGTGCCTTATGAGTAAATTCTTAAAAGTAAACTTTGAGTAAGAAAAATCGAAGTCTAAAGATGAAGAATAAGCATTAAATTGGGAGAGAGTCCTCCTTAAAGGAGCATTCATACCATAAACAGTTTTAACAACACCCACAAAAAATAATTCATTACAACGAAGAATACGTGAGGGAACATTAAAACGAATTTTCATAAGGAGGTGCGAGCAATCTATAGAGCCTACAATTATGTCAAAGACAAAGCACATCGATAACAAAGTACGCCTGGACTCTAAGGACATGAGATTTATCAACAAACAACGAGAACGATAGGACGGAATAGGGTCTACAAATTTCAACG